GCGGGGACTCTCCGATGCCTAAGTTAGCATTCTGATTACAGAGGGCTTGGAGAGAAATGAGAGAGCTAGAGAGCGGGGGTTACCATCCTTTTTTCCCCCCTCTGGCTTTGGGGGTCGGAGCCCTTATATAGTGGTGCCCTTGCGAGTTAGGTGGGTGAAAAGCCTTCAAATGGTAAGACGTCATATCCCGTCARAACCGGGGTACGGTGATGAACTCCTTGAGGTTGTCAGGCTGGCGCTTGTGCCAGGCAGCCAGGTCGGCGCCTAGGCCAGGTTGTCAGGTCAGCGCCTATGTCAGTCGGCGGGTCGGTGTCCGAGCCAGGTTGCCAGGCCGGCGCCTGTGTCTGTCGGCGTGTCAGTGTCCGGGCCAGGTTGCCAGGTCGGCGCCTGTGTCTGGGCCAGGTTGTCAGGTCGGCGCTTGTGTCAGTCGGCGGGTCGGTGTCCGGGCCAGGTTGCCAGGTCGGCGCCTGTGTCAGTCGGCAGGTCGGTGTTTGGGCCAGGTTGTTAGGCAGGAGATCTTCCTGCGATACGCCAAACTACTCTTCTGTACCGAGCTACCCTACAAGTGGCGAGAAGCCCGGGGGGGCTATGCCGAGCTGCCTGGCTCCTTGGTGGCAAGCTCCTTGGAGAGCTGCCTAGCTCCTTGGCGAGCTCTTTGGTGAGCTATCAAGCTCCTTGGCGAGCTCCTTGGTGAGCTACCGAGCTCACGGGGTATGCCGTTAATGGTTCTCGGTGGGCGTCTTATAGGTTGCCAGGTCGGATCATGTGCCAGGCTGATCCGGCCAGGTCGCGCACAGGCCGCGCCAGGCCGCGTGCAGGCCGCCCGTAGGCCGCATGCAGGTCACGCCAGGCCAGCCAGACCAGCCAGACCGGTGCCCGGGTGGGACACCAACTTGGTAAGTTGTTTGCCTAGTTGTCACGAGGTGCCACGTGTCGCAATTTCACTGGAGGGCCAAATCTGCCCTCATCAGATATCTATGCATCACTAGGTTGTTTTTGAAATTGTTGAAAATAAATTAAACTTTGTTGCAATGCTTTTGAATTTTAATGAAAACTGTAACTTTGAGAATTCTCCTTAAGATTTGGAAATTCAGGTGGGAGTTGTCTAGAAATTTCCAAGCAGAAAATAAAACAACACGGCATTCACTTCTTTATTGACAAGTTCCACATTCTGTCCAAAAAGGAAACTGTTTTTGGTATGATTGCAGTGACTCCTTATGCTTGCTTGTCTAAGCCATTGCAGAATTGCAGCCTACAAATGATGCTTCTTCTGAGAGAAGGGTAACTTTATGATGGACAAATATAGGAAGATCCAAGGCTGCACTTGCAATGGATTTATCTTCCTCATATAATTTTAAATCTGCCAATGTATTAACCTGCAAATGTACAGTAATAATTTAGTGACACCATATTATAAGTACTACATAGTAATATTTACATAACAAAGATTATCTGTTTTGGCTATTCTTTATATATAGTGACAAAGTTTGAGAAGTATTAATGGGGGCCTGATTTTGAGTGAAGTTGATGGGTCTCATCAATACAGAGGTTAAGATGACCCTATTATTTATTGTTTTCATTGTTGTTATCATTGTTCATTACTACTGGAAACCTGAATGGTACCTCATCTCTCAGTTCTCGGATGTAGCCAACAAGTAGAAGGTGCATTTCTTGATCAGATATGTCTTCACATATTTCATCAATGAGACATGGTTTCTGCAAAAGCACAAAACCACATAGGATGCATATGAAATAACTTAATACAAGCAAGCCATGAAGGAAGACTTGATAAAAGAACTGAGAGCATCATAGCAGGAAATGACACTGCATAAGTATTCTGTGATGAGGACTCATCCTAAGTCACATGAACACATTCAAATTTCCTACAAAAAGCAATAAGACAAATGCACTAAATTGATTGGTGAGACCATCCAACCATTGTAGGTAGAAATGTCATATTTTCTACTGGAAGGATAACCCCACTTTAATGGTCAGTCTGGTCCCTGCATATGCAACACTGTATCCCAAATTCCCAATACATGCTTGTTGACAGATCCTACTTTCGTTTGTAGTCAGACTATTCTAAATGAAATCATTTAGATATTATATATAAAGATTTCTTAGGTTGGTTACCCACAATTATTCTCATAATGGTAGATAAATGATGGTTCCATCCGATGCCCACCACGACTTTGGAGTTCCCTTGTGCACCAAGTTTGGCCCAACCAAAGTATATTCCCGAAACTTGATCAGGAAGAGCAGTTGGACCATCATCTGAATTTATTTGTTTTTGAAAACATAAGAAAAAGGTTAGTAAACACAACCACAAATCTGAAAAGAAAGAAATCATAAACAGATGCAAAATATCTATTCTGAAAATAAGCATTTTCGCACAAAATAGTAATGCAAAATGTTAAAAAGGATAGGGTGGATCCTCCTGACCTTCAAATTCACACAGAAACCCCTTGCGGACTATGCCCTTTACATACATTGGTTCAATTGGCAATGCACTTTGCACCCCTGTGATTGATTAAATCAATCAGATCGGCTATTTAAGGAAATGGACTCATGATAACTAAAATAAAGGAGGAAGTGAAAAGGTAATTTACAGTCTTCAAATGGTGGAAGACCCCAGAGCTCAGGCCGGAACTCTAAAAGTGAATGAAGCACAGAATTAGCTATTGAATAATGATCCACTTGAGTTTGGAGGGATGGAATGGTCACCACCTTCATTCCAGCAGCCTTTGCAGCCATAACACCAGGCCTATTGAAATGTCCATGTAATTATGTAAATACAATTGGTTTATGGTAGATGGTAGTCCACTCACAACATATGAAACCAACCAACATCTTTTCTTTGTCATAAGATTCCCTAAAACAATGAGTAGAGTTAACTCATGCTTTTTGACCAAGTATTTAGCTGTATATGAATGGTGTGGAACTTTTAGGTTGTCAAACCATCATGTGTATTTGTAAGGAATGCCTAGGATTTGCCACCCCTTTCCTTTGCATTTCCCTCCTGACCTCAAAGACATCATTGATGAGGATGCTAGAGGTCAGACTTACTCCAACCTATAGTTATTCTTGATTTTTTTAATATGTTCTGATGAGGTCTGTATTTGCACTTTTTATAAATCTGTGTACATCCTCTCTTGTACATCTCTTTTCTACTTGCTGAAATAATTTCTTTAAAAGAAAGCTTACATGCTAATTATGCATTAAAACAGGAACATTTAGCCAGTTGTACATCTGGCTCTCTGCAGTGAAGGAACTAAACAGTAAGAGTTTCATTCAAAATCCTAACCAAGTGGAAGATTTAGGAGGTGTTTGGCATCGTGGAATGTCCACGATATATTGCGTTTCAGAACACGCAACACTCAAATAGCTCTTCGGTTTGCCTGTGGTGTGGATCGATCCACGCTATCTCGTGGATTGATCCACACCACGGGCCAAAATCTCCTCAACGGATTTTTCTCATGGATCAAACCACGCAACTCTCATTCATTGATCCTGTGTTTCACCTATAAACATTAATAATTATTAAAATTCTTAGCAATTTACTATTATTATTATATTATGTATATTACTAAAAAATAAAATATTGTTTTTTAATAATTAATGGCATAGGTTATCTTAAATGTTGTAGTTGAGAAGCATGGAATCAAACACAAGGTGTGGACTGAAATGCACCACACCTTGTAGAACGCCCATAGAGGTGTGGTATGGATTGGTCCACACATTTTGTCCACAGTGTAGAACAACTACCCTGTTGGGGTGTAGTGTGTTTTTGTCCACACCACACCTGTGGTGCGGATGAAAACACACCACCAAATTTCTCATCTACGCTACAGAACACACCCTTAATGGTCTTGAAGAAGAATACCACCCTAACAAAACCATCTGATACATAAAAACATGCTTCACCACCCAATGCATTCTGACATATCTCACCACCACTCCATGACCCAATGAAGAATCCACCATGCCCAACCCAGTAGCTTATGTATCCCATTCACTCATCTATTCTAGCCACATCCACCTCATCATCTTCATCAGAGCTAATTTTAATGGGTATTGTGTCTTCTTTTAGTATGTATATAGATGTTCCACCCATTGTGCATTCCCTAAACTTTGACATGGATGCACCCCATTAACCACCAGGCCCTCGCCATGCCTAGTTACAAGTTTCATGGAACCTAATAACCTAAATTTTACTATTTTAGTTTACCTAGTACCAACTTGCACCCTGCTCAAACATTGGGGTCTAGTATATAAAATAAAGTAGCTTCTCATCTATAGCAATTATGCTAGATGGATATGATAATTCGGTAAAACACATGGCCATGGGTTTCATGTTTCTAATTCTGTCACAAGCTCCCTCGGAGAATATAAAATCAAATGTAACAGTGAGACTTAAATGAGTGCTTCAAGGTTCATTTATCTGCCAAATGGTCCAGTCTTAAGACGTTAATAACAACAATGCCTTCAACTTCAGTTAAATCCAAGTACTACCTGGACAGCTTTATGACTATTGCAGGTCTTATATGGGGCCATTCATTGATATATAAGACTGGAAAGCAAATTTCTATTTGGTCCCAAGTACAGATTTTCCAACTCTTCAACCAAGATAGCCAAACTCATTTAACATTTTTTACTAGTTCCTAAATTCCAAATCCCTAGTAGCAGTTGGACTTCAATAACTAACTACCACTGGTAAGTTAGATGTTGTTTATGCTGTTATCAATTATTTTGTTGGTCATACAAATGTTAACAGATGCAAAAGAGACTAAAATGGAAATGAAATACTCTGTTTTATGCACTAAGTAGGAGCAGGATGCTTCAAGATCATGGTAATGTAAGGACATCATCGGCTAGTTTTCAAGATGATTCATGATTTAACTGATCCAAGAGGTTAGTATACTGCAACAGATATATCACAATAATATTCAAAGGAACAATTAATGCATTGCAGAGCCATAGAATATGCAAATAATAATTTCTTGAGTTTATATTTCTCACAGGGAGTCTTCAATCACCAGACAGTGACTTGCCTCCATTCCCATTCTCTTTGCTGCCTCTAGAAATCTAGGAGGAAAAACAGAAAATAATTTAAAGAATACAATACAATAACTAAAAAGGTTATTTCATCACTTAACATATGAAGACTCTTACAGGTCAGGAGAGGGCTTCCCAGAATTAACCTCATCACGTCCAATTATTACTGAGAATGCTTCATTCCATCCTAGAATAATTTGAAACAAGCCACGTTGAATTAGCAAATAAACAAAGAAACCAAGTAGAATTATACTGCAGAAAACATTCTCAAACATTAAATGATAGTGATGGATATATAACTTAGAAAAAAAAAACAGATAAAAACTTCAAAACATTCATCTAGCAATGTTAGTCACAAAACCATAATTCATTGATCTCAAACCATATTGCTACAAAAAACAGTTGGGTGAAATATCGATCATGAATTCTTCCTCAAGGGCAGAAATATAAAATTCTTCTTTGATTATTAAAACATGGAAACATTATACTTTCTACAGAACTATACTGTCAAACTGTTAACACTTTTTTAATGTTTTCCTTCTCTCTCTCTCTCTGAAAGTATGGACCACTTCCACACTATCCTCTAAGCTAATATGATATAATTAAAACAATAAAATGCTGAGGAAAGAAAAAGAAGTAGAGCAATTAAACTGATACAAGTTAAGACTTCACTGAAACGATAAAATATCTTCAAATCAAGTAACAAAAGTAAAATCCATATAGGGAACAGATTTATGGTTTTATAAACAACAAACAACAACAATGTGGACGGCGATGACCACCATCGGCACCGCCACCATGACCAACAACAACAATAACAACAATAAAATGATTACAATGATGATCATCATCATGGTGGTGGCTATGTGATATTTATTAATTACAACAGAACCCATACTTTCTGATGAGAAAATCCAGAATGTTGGTTAATATATTCTAGAAAGCCAAGAAGAAAAAAGGACCTTGGTGGTAAGATATCTTTGCTTCTATATGTTTCCGTATGGAATTTGAAGCAAGTGCAAATGGCACTCCATGCTTATGTAGATGCATGATAAGGCGATTAGCACCTGGAAGAGCTTTGGCTTGTGGCCACCTAAAAGAACCCAAATAAACAGTAAGCCCATTACAAAAGCTGCACAAACTAAGATCATTTATGTGCACATAGTAATAATAATAAAGAATGACAAATTTCTAAACTATTTACTGACTAGAAAAATTATCTTCTAAGTCATGCAGAATTCTTATGCAGGATTTAAAAAAAAAAATCTGAAAGGTTTAATGTGACTTGACATCAAGGTGTAGTTCCTTATTTGAATACATATCCCAACTTTGGGTACCCATATGGTTCACTAGCTAGGGACCATTCTCTGTGTAACATAAAAACCCCTGGATAAATGCAGAGAACCAAACAGTTCATTCTTACAATTGTTTATCATGGTTAAATCCTTTCTGTTGTGATTGTTGTTTATCAACACATGCATACAGAAAATTACAAATCTTAAATAGGTTCCAAGAAGCATGGCCATGGCCATCCTTCTTTGGCACTCTTCTATGTGTCCAGTGATAAACCTTCTATCTTCTACAATACTACTTGCCAAGGCAACTTTGGGTCCTTGAAATTAAAGGGACTTAGGCCTGAGTTTGAAGTAATGGGCCCAGGCCATACCTGAATACAAAATCTAGGCCCAAGTTCGGAAATTTTATTTTATCTAATCAATCAATCTGAGGAATCAGGAACATCAGGAGGACCCATATGAAGTAAGAAAGGAAAAAATGAAAAATTGAGAAAAGCAGTGGGCCTGGGAGAATTTGCCTCTCTTGATATAAAGGCATGATCTCCCGGGAAAATTGATCAGATGTGAGGGGAAGATCATAGTCCTTGACAATGGCAGCTGAAGACTCCTTGTGCGTCATACCCAACCTTTTGTCTTCCTTTTCACTGTCCAAAACCTTCCCATACCTCCCCAGGAAATCCTTCAGAATTCCTTTCGTTGCTTTCTCTGCAAATAAACCACAGCGATCGGCAGAGATTAAAAGAAAGAGATATGATTAGTGTTAGAGGATAAAAAACCTATCCAGGAACCTCTCCTAACAGCTTAAGCTTTTCTTTGAGATGGTATTAGAGCCTTTTTGATCGAATGGTCTAGTGTTCGATCAAGGGGGAGTTGGGTAAGGTTCCTGAATAGGTTTTTATCCTCTACCAATTAGGGAAAGAACGGAAACAAGTAAGTTCAGTACAGTACCTGTGTTTAAAAGGGTCCCGTCCAAATCCAAAATAACAGCAGAAATCTGAGGTTCTCCATTGCATGACTCAATGTTACAACAACTCATGGCTTTGGAGTTAGTTGAGACACAGTAAGGGACAGAAAAAATAGAGATGATGAAACAAGAGCAGAGAAATAGAGCAATGGGTTTGAGTAGATGAAGATGACATTTAAAAACACAGCCATGAACCCAGAGGAATCGATTTCAAAACCAAAGGGGCAAGAGAAAACGACGTGAACTGGTGTTGCATTTTGATAATGGTAACCAATTGATAGTGGTATAAAGGTTTGATCCTCAGAGGGATTGTGGGAGTCTGATTTATTACTAAGAATGTTTCTTGGTATATCCTCTTGGCATCTCACATTCTTGCTTCTTCCATTAAGCTAAACCTTACAAAAATTAGATGAGAACAAAAAATTAAGGTTTTTAGGGGTGAAACACATCATCAAATGGGATTCACAAATAGCCCATCTAAGACATGATTATTATCATTGTTGCTATGTTCATAATTGGATCCGTTTGCTGGTTTTTCTGATTCAAAATTAGGTTGATTAGTGAATTCAAGTAGTAGTGAATTCAAATTGGGTTTGCTGGTTTGTCAAATTTTGGATGCACATTTGCTAATCTCGTGAGCTCGGCATTCACAATATGGTCTTAATTATAAGAATTAAGAAGTAGATTGATGATGTGATTCACTTAATTTGCTACAGTTTGTGAATTGAATTGCAGTAAATCAAGAATCGAATTAGGATGACATTGGTAAAGATATTGGGGGAATATGAGAAGGAATAAGAACAATTTTGTGGGTATATCTTGTTTATGCTTCCGAGTGAGAATATATTTACAAGCACAAATTGATTATACCGTTTGGCCCTACAACTGCAACTAATGTCATTGTTGAAGGATCTATTCATTGTTCCAATAACCGAAAAGATTAACTAGGCCAGAAGTAAACTTGACTAAAGTTGGAAATAACCATGATATGATCCATGTCGGATATACCAGAACTGATGTGTTTATTCCTGATTTAGGAGGGCTTTAGCGTTGCTCGAGCTGTGTTGACTGAGTTGCTTTGGAGAAGCTACAGGAATAACTTTATCAGAGAGTAAATTTCCATGGGTGTATTTTTTTTTGGTTTCCATATTTTCACCAAACATAACTTGAAGGCTTTCCTAGATACCTGCATCGGATTAAACTAACGTTTTAACTGTTCAATGGGTTGTGAAATCAACGATGAAATTCCATGTCATTCCGTCAGTAATAAATTCATGGACCCCACTGTAAAAGATGCAGGCCCCATGGCGTGAAACCATATTCTAAAGGGTTCAGTTAAACCTTGCTCAGTGTCTTGTGGGTAGGGATCCGAAATCAGGGACATCCAATTTTATGACATCGCGCAAGTAAGGCTAATCTGATAACAAACATTCTATTTATGATGAACTTCGTAAAGAAGAGTTTAGGGTTGATTCTAAATAATGGTAAAGGGTTCAGCTAAACCTTGCTCAGTGTCTGTGGGTAGGGATCCGAAACCAGGGACATCCAATTTTATGACATCGCGCAAGTAAGGCTAATCTGATAACAAACATTCTATTTATGATGAACTTCGTAAAGAAGAGTTTAGGGTTGATTCTAAATCCCCTCCCCCTCCCCTCCCTTGAGAATGTGATCTCTTTCCAACTGATTTCCTGCTTGAACCAAACAAGTTGTGAGAATATTTCAATTCTAATTCTGATTCCAAAAATGAACCAAACAGACCCTAAATTCCAACTGTTTTTTTTTTTTTTCACTTGAAACACCACAGTACCAATCATGGACGTAATTCATGTATCACCATCGTCATCATCATCATCATCGTCTAAGCCTTTTTGAACAACTTGAAATTAATCGACCAATGCTAAATGTCATATAATAGTTATTAATGAGTCATAGATCATTTCTTATTATTAATTCCACCCAATAAGTAGTATTACATATGTAAAACAAATGTGATGTTAACGTTGTAAGCAATTACAGAGGTGAAGAATATTTTTATATCATTTAATTAAATATAAGGATAGGATTTGGATAACTCCTTTTCTCAGATTTTCATTCCGGGAAGGAGACCCAATTCCTTGAGAACATCGGAGCAGCCTTCGATAGGTTTCAACACCATGAAGCCCAAGGAGTTGGCAAAGCGTGATGCGGAGGAAATGCCATTGTTTGAGCTGAGCAAAACGCGGGCGTGGTCCAGTCCTGGAGCTGGTTCAGAACAATCCTTCCTGGGGCTACTCAGCAGCTTCACTTCACAGATATCTTCCTCGTGACTCCCTTCCACCGGCAGCTTGTAGATGCCCGTTGTATCAGTTTCGCCCTCGACGGAGTATGCCACGTCGTCGTTCTCTCGGCTCCTGCATTCTAGTCGCACCTTCGCACCTGCAACACCGAAATGGATGATCGGACTACTGGTTTCTGTTTTAATCGATGAGTTCGAATTAATCAAGATCAAGCTCTTAATTACCTGATATGGGTTCGCTGAGTTTGGTCTCGAATTGTGTACGGCAAGTGTCGCAATACACTTTCCCTTGAACGAAGAACTGCTCGTCGCAATGGACGAAGCCTGCGAGGGACAAGAAGCATAGAGCAGCGGCAAGGAGGGGAAGAGCCTGAAAACACTTCGCCATGGATTAATTCTCTGCTAACCCAACCTTGTTTTTTTTCTTTTTGAAATTCCTTTAAGGTGTTGAAGACTGTGAGAGGATGGATTGATGCAAGATAGAGACGGGGTTTTATTGTCAGAGGAAGAAGAAGAGAGATTGGGACTAACCGTCATCCTTGGCAAGGTTGTTAGCATTCTCTCTTGATTTTTGAGGTCCAGAGAATGGGGTTGACCCGTTCATTGGGCCTGGTTTTTGGAAAATGAATGAACTCCATTAGAGAGAAAATGGTGCACCCAACAAAGCAATATGAATTCGTTCATGTATTACACCATCACCATACGCATTAACTGGATTCAAAACGGACGGACCAGATTCCAGAATTTTGTTTATTTTAAAGATATGACTGGATGAATGGTTGGAAGTTAGAACTTAGAAGAGGTCCTGGACTCTAATGGGCCTTTTTAGATATTGTTAAGGTGGAGCCCAACTCGTGGGACATAATTAAGACCTTTTTGTTCCACTTGGGCTAATCCCTCTGATCTACATTGTAACAATACTATAATTGCTGGCCAGCTAACAATTCTTTCATTTGGTTATCTGATTGGAAAACATCTATCTCTACATTTCTCTTCCATGTTAACTCGGATTAGCTGATGGCTGTATACACTGAAACCAACAATGATATATCCCACGCTGGTCATAAAAACCATGGGCTCATAACTTCAATCTCTTATTGTGGTTTCATATGTTTTATGACTGATGTGGGGTATTATTATTGGTTTTACAGCCAATACATTCAGCTGATTGGATCTCCCTCTCTGTCCTCTCAAACTCTTTTCACATGAAAAATATGAGAATAAAAATACTAAGGGTCCATCCAGTTCACAGAATCAGAATTGGTTGGGTGGAAGAATCCTATTTGCATTCCTAGTAGAATGACATTTCTATATTTGAGAAAATGGTCATTCCTTCTCTTTTTCTTAGGAATGAGAATCCATTCCAGTTGATTCCGATTCCCGTCTAAACCAAACAAACAGAGGAAATAGATCATTCCAATTCTAATTCCAATAGATTTTCAATTTCGATTCTGGTTCTGAATTTAAATCAAGCTGACCCCAAAATGTCTATGCGTAATTTTACATGAGTTGCTTTGGTATGTTAAGTGTAAAACTATCCTTCAAGTTGTTTTTCATTTTGTACTGACCCGGGTAGGAATGTCTAGTCCACGTGTTGATGACTAGTTATTGTTAGGCTTCAGCACTTTTAGGCTTGCTAAACTTTGATTGGGTTTGACCCAATTTAACCTTCAACCCAAGGCTTTCAGGCTACATCCCCCGCCATTCAAACACGTGGCTTTTTCAAATTTAGACAAATGGCATTTTCTTAGAAGTTGTTGTTAAAGCTCACAACCCATTACCCCATTCAGACGAGTGGCTTTATCATTTTCCAAAAAGCTAGACATATGGCAATTTCTGAGAAATTCCTACTAAAGCCCACAACCCACTACTAGGCTACAACTCCCCATCAATTTAGATACATGATCTTCTCATTTTTCAAGAAAACTAAACATGTGGCATTTTCTGAAAAGTTGATGCTAAAGCTCACAACTCACTACCACTATTTTCAATCCATTTCTAAAAAATGCAGAAAATACAAAAATAATTATCCACAACCACTTCTGCCTACATTCTATCAATCTCATTTAATCATTAACCCTCTACGTATCGTAACAAAAGAAAACCATCAATATTCTAATAATTATTGAAAAACTATTTTTTGAAATAAATATTTATTAAAATTTTAATAATTATTTAAAATATTAATAAATATAAATTTAACAATATTAATTCCACGATATAAATTTAACATTACTGATTTCTCGTACTAGTACGGGGTCATTCACTAGTTGTATATTATATATAGGCAATACTCATGATACCGATTGATTGGTCAGCAAGGGCAGAGCGAAGTATAAAGTTAGAGGGTCCTTTGCCCCCTAATGGTCCTTCCCCCACCCCCACCACACACTGTTCTCTAACTCCTTAATCATTTAATGCCCCTCCACTAACTCCAAGATTAAAACAAAATTTTGTTTATTTTTCTTTCATAAAAAGCAAGTTTTTAAAAGCTGATTCGGAAATGGAATCACTGTGGCCACTGATTTCTACTCAGTGGTTTGACTGTTTGGGTTGAATGGTTCAGGTGGTTTGGAATATTAGGGCAATTAGGACCGACGATTCGACTGTTTGGGTTAGCAGTCCTCTGACCAAGTCAACAGTTTTTTGCCTAAGAATGAATTAATGGTAAAATGGAACTGGTTGTCTGGGCAGTTTCTAAGCTGAACGGTCCGACTGTTCGGGTCAATGATAATTCAAAAACACTGTAAAAAAGCCATAATAAACTCAAACCGTCTCACCCTACTTCTCTTCAAATCCTACCTCATTTTACTCTAAATCTCATTTTCTTGATTTTTGCCAAAAAGAATACAGAAAAGTAAATCAATTACATTGAGAATTAAGTAGTAATTACAAGATTTGAGAGTTGACACAAATCCTATCCATAACCAAAAGATGTGGCTGTCCTCTCATCCTTTGTATCATTTTTTACTTTCCTTAACAATATTTATATTATTTATATTGCAAATCTATATAATTTAATTGAGTTAATATAACTTTTTCATTATCATAAACCAAAAAAATATATAACTCGGCACATAGAAGAAAATTCCTGACTCCGCCATGATGGTCAGACTTATATATATGCATATTAACTCAAAACAATCACATCCATGCACAAACTAAGTGTAAATATACACATCACACATTCACACGTTAATATCCATTTTAGATTGGTTTTAACTCAAACCTAGTCTATTGACACGTATATTCTTATTTTATATCAATGGATTAGATATTAGTTTAATCCAATCCAATCTAATATAAATTTATTATGGGCAAACCAGGTTCAATTCAATCTAATAAATATTTTGGATTGGATTGATCCAATTCAATATATTTTATTGGTCCATCCAATTCGTTCAAATTGATTTTGAACTGGACAGGGTCCAATGCAAAACCAGTCCATTGATACCTTTAGCAACAGTCACCATCTGTGTACACACATGGAAGTAATGTGTAAACATGCATGAAGGAATGTGGCTTTACGGTATTGAGTCAGCTAATGGATCATTCTTCTCTCTTGTGGTAGCAGCAGGATTTGATCCCAGGTAGCTCGACAAGTGAGAGAACCTACCACTACCAGGCTACCAACTAATGTATCATGTATTTTCGTCAGTAGTATTTTTCTTAATTATAAATATATTATATTTATCACTGTAGCCGTTCAGCCTGTGCAGGTTGGGGTGGGGTCCATGAACTTGGCCGTATTATTTTATTTTTTACTTTTATTATAAAAATAATAATAATAAAAGAATATAAAAAATAATAAAAAGTTAATGAAAAATGACAAATTCAATGGTTGTAACAATAATTAAAAAAAATCATCTTAAAATTTTATTCCATATAAAATGATTAAGAAATTGAAAAATGCTATAATAAAATGATTAATGATGTGTCGGGCCATGCTGGGTCGTGCTACGAGCTGTGCCGGCATGACCCATGGGCCAAAAGCCCTTAACTTAGTTGTGTCGAGCATGGCCTGAGTCGTGCCGGCCTGCAATCGGCCTAACCCATTTTACACCTCTCACGTAATTAGAAATTGCTAAAACCTCTCTTCAAGTATATGACCGTTGTTGAAACCTCCCTTGAAGTTTAGTAATTGCAATCACCTCCCCTGAACTTTTTAACACAACTGCAAGTAGATTCCTTTTGTTATAATCTTTTAACAAGAAGCATTTAAATGTCCAAAATACCCATGCATTAAAATTTTCTCTTCATATTAATCTCTCAAAGGTAAAGCTGCAACTTTAAACTCTCTTTTTTTATTTGTTGTTAGTCAAATTTGTATTGTTTTTCTATAAAAGCCAGTCTCAATTGTAGTTGCATAGGTATTTTGGATATTTTTGTGATTCTTGTTGGAGGATTATAATAAAGGGAATCTAATTTCAAGTTTTAACTATGTTAGAAGTTTGGGAGGTGATCACAATTATCAAACTTTAGAGGAGGTTTAAGAAATGGTCATAAATATTTCATGGGAGGTTTCAACAATTTACCCTAAAAAGAATTGCTAATTACTAATCCATTAACTCAGTACTCTCAAATCTCAATGCAAGAAGCAAACTTTTTAGGGTAAATTGGAGATTAATATCTTCTATTTTGGGGCTAGTCTCACTTTAATACCTGAATTTTAAAACATGCTATTGAAATACATGAACTCTCGACAACTATCAATTTAGTCCAAAAGCATTAATTGATGTTAGATAACATGTAAAAGAACACAAATACCCTTCAAGTTTCAAATAGATGAGAAGAGTATACATTTGAACTATGACCAAAATAACCATGTTTGAACCGCTGAAAAAGCTACATGGAAAAGCATCATCGGAGAAGATTATATTGTTATTGGAGTAACTTGCGAGTTGAATGTAGTTTAGAAAGCAAGAGAGATAGTAAGCAGTGATTGTGCATACCTTTGCCCCCAAAGTGTTGGAGTCTTTATATATTGGAGCCCTTGTGGGTACCTCACTAGGTAAGCACCCCCGGGTTCTCTGATTCTTTCTGTGCAGATCAGCCACCTCCGTCGTCTATTGGAAGCCAAATCATCTCCAGCTAGGAGCAACCAGATTGCGTCGCATCACTAACCATTTTATTTTTCTCTTATTCAGTTTTTCAAAAGATAAAAAATAAATTAATGTTGTTTACCTATTTTTATCAAATTATGTATTTATCAAGTTGTCATTGATGATGACAATGATGATGAGTCAACTTTTTGAAAGACAGGAGTACTAATAATAATTAACGACTTCTAATTAATTAATTTTAGCTATTAATTAATAATAATAATAATAATTCATTGAAATTAATTAATTACTAATAATAATTTCTTATAATAATAATAATTACTAAAAATATTTCTCATTATTAATTCGGAATGATAATTAATAACGATTTTCATAGTGGTAATTAATAATTCGAAAATAATCATTTTATATTTATATTAACTCATATTAATTATTTTGAAAATAAATATTTAATGTTAATTATTTATATTAGAATTATTATCAGAAATTATAATTCATACATTTATATGAAATAATTAATTATATTATTATTATTATTAGTAATTATAATTAATACTTATATTACTTGATATAATTATATAATTATATTATTATTATTATCAATATTTATAATTAATTATTACTAATAATAATGATTCTTGATAAAATTTAATTACTGATTATAATTACTTACTGATAATTAATTCCTTAATTATAACAATGATAATTATTACTTCAGAATGTTAATTAATTAATGATAATTAATAAGTATTTTAATAATGTTAATTATTAATCGGGATAAAATCATTTTATATTTATATTARTTCATATTAATTATTTTATAAATATATAATTAGTGCTACTTATTTACATTATTGTTATTATAAGTAATTATAATTATTACAATTATTATTCTCCAATAAATATTTCATTTGGTTAAAGTTAAATTATAAAATTTCAATTATCCATTATTGTTAAACTAAAAGAAATATAAAAGCAATTATTATTTTAGGAATTAACTAAAAATCATAATTATAACAAATTAATTATTCCATAATAATAATAACAATAATAATTTAATATTACTGATTTCAAAATGAGTACACACATAATAAGAATATATTATTAGTAAATAATAGTAATAATAATATACTTATTATTATTATTGATTTCATAATTATTAATATATTATTAATCTATATTAACTTAATAAAGACATGGAATAAAAAAATATTCAAATTGCTACCAAATGAATGAACTAAAAATCTATGAGTATTCTAATTGAATTGAATTTGACACATCAACATGCCCAAAATTGTAATTTCAATCTACATTTCCTATTTCTATCTCCCAATTCCCATAATTCAAATATACTATTATGTTATGTACATGTTTCCCTACCTTTTTCTTAGAGATAAATTCTAGCTAGTCTGTGTGCACTGTGGCGAGTTTAGACTTAAAATCTGTAACCAGGATTGATCAAAAGAAGCATTGCCACCTAACTTGGAGGTGACTTTCATACTTAGGATGGTCCCATTATTCTCCTTTCTTTCATGTTTCTTCTATTGGATGGGCTTTGGAATCCTTATCAAATTATCAGTTGATTGTATCCATACATGATGATTTGATTGTAGTCATATATTTTTCATCTCTTACTTCAGAGGATGGATGCATCTGCAAATGTTGTTTGGCATGGATTGTTTTTCTTAGCAGCTCTTTGAATGATTTTCTTCTTTCTTTGCCTCTTTAAATGAATATCATTTAAATGCTTTTTATCTATTCATATGTCTCTAAATATTAAGTAGTATTGGTGATATTGTTGTAAACATCCATCTAATTTTATTATTTTATAAATAGATTAATGATTTCCAAGTTATTGATACTTTTTTTGGGGTGGATTGCTCAATAGGACATTGATTTTTTATTGTTAAATAGTAAATTTTAAATTAAATGATACTGTAGTTGCCCCTTAGTATGGGGTCATTGTCTAGATAAAACATGGTAAGTCTCTTAAATCAAATAAAGATCATACCCTAAATGTCTATTATAAATAATTAAAAAAAATGAAATAATTTAGATTAAATCAAATAATTACTTACTCAAAATTACTGAATTAAGTAAATAATAATAACAATTAATTATTTATAAAAATAATTAATAATAATAACAATTATCAAGTACTTATTTAAGTAAATAATAAAAATCGAAATAACAATCATTAGTTATCATTAATATTTATTCAAAGCATGCCCCATAATAATTACCAAATGTAGTAATTAAACCTTAAATAAGAATAAATATTTATTAATAGTCATTAAAAATGTTAAGCCAAATCATTAATGTTTATTCTTAAATGGAAAATATGAATTAACAAATCTATTATTTAATGATTATACTCGGCTGGAAAAAATATTTTAAGTAAATATTTAAATAATTACAAATTTAATTAATATTATTACTAAATAACAAAAAAATTAAATAAAATAAAAATAACATAAACATAAACATAATAATAATAATAATAATAATAATAATAATAATAATAATAATAATAATAATAATAATAATAATGGTTAAATTAAAGTAATAAACGTTTCAAGTTGAATTTAATGACATGTATTATTTTAGCGGGTTTGATATATAAGGGTCAATTTATGTAGACCCGTAAACTGTATGAATATCTTAAAAAATGGCAGTTTATAAACAGTAATATATATACAGTTTATAAACTGTATCTGAATGACACGTATTGAGGTTCGGGAAATCACAAATTATAGGTATTAATATTCAATTAACCTAAATTATTTATTATTTATTTTCCAAAAAAAAGCTCGTGCTCTTTCTCTGCGCAAACCCACAAAGTTCTCCGAAGGGGCTGGTTTGGTGCTTGCTTACCGACATTCTGTGAAGGCGGTTTCATTCTCAGTATGTACGCGTATGCAAAGCCATGGCTCTACTCCTCAATCCCCAAAACAATATTCTCGCACTTTTTCTCTCTGCGCAAGCCTGCAAAATGCTCTTAAGATTATCACGTTTAGTTTTTCGCCATTCTGTGAAAGCGGTCTTCCTCTTAGTGTGTACGCGAGTGCATAGCCATGGCTCTGCTCTTCAATCCCCAGAACCATATATCTCAGTCGAACCCAGAAAAACCCTACATTAATTTTCTTAGAAGGACCTCTGCTTTTGCCCAATCTTCCCATGTTCAGAATCTCCAAACCCATGTTGAGAAATTAGCTCCAGATCACAAACTTGTTGTCGTCGGCGGATCCAAGCTCTCCGGTCATGTCAACATCAGCGGATCCAAGAACTCTGCATTGGCTGTCCTCGCTGGGACCCTCTGTTGCTCCGGAACTTCGAAGCTTCACAACATGCCAAACCTGTCCGACACTAGAACAATGGTTTCGATTTTACGGTCTCTGGGTGTACGAGTCCAAGTATCTAATGGAGAAATGACAGTAGATACAGATGGACTTTGCTCTTTGGAGCCATGCTCGGACGCTGTTGGGAAGATTCGAGCAGGGCTTTTTGTTCTGGGGCCATTGCTTACTCGGTTCGGGGAGGCAGTTGTCGCACTTCCCGGTGGTTGCGACATAGGAGCTCGACCTGTAGACCTGTATATTCGAGGACTTCGTGCACTTGGAGCCATTATTGAATTGAGTTAAGTGTATATACTAACTTCAAGTCAGTTAATGTTTTGTTCAGCTTATCTTTTATGACGACTTATTTTCAAAATTTGGTTAAGAATTTGCATTTCATAGGGTTGCAGTGTTTTTTGTTTTTTTAGCAGTTGATCCATGATTGATTTTAACCCACAAGCATGATTGGGATACCAGTTGATCCAAACTTTTAAATTTTTAGTTTGGATCTGCTGGTCAAGCTTACAGAATAGAGATGCCAAGCTTGCTTAACCTTTACCTAAAGATTTTAAAAGTTAAAATCTTTTATGTTAATTATATCCAAATTTTTAGTTTGGATAGCTTAGTTTGGATATTCTTATATATTATATGTCACCTCTAGTTGGTGTAGATGTGACTAGTCTTGTGCTTTTGGGTACTTGGGGTGGCTATGATTCTTTCTTTCAAGGAACTGCACTCATTGAAGTCTTCAAGAGGCTCTAGTTCTGAGTTAGTTTAGCAAGGTATAATGTGTTTTTGCATATAAATAGAGGTGGGAATGGGGTGGGGGCTCTATGTTTCTATGTCATATTGTGTCAATTCTGAACAATTCTTATGGAAGGCAACACAATGCAACTGTCAGGGCCCATCTATGTACTCTTACATTTGGGTTAGTACATGTCGTCGTCTTTTCATGACCTAATAACTGCAAGCCTGAATTGAGCAATATACCTTCTGAGTATACAAAAGGTAAAAAAAGAAAGCAAAAAAAGAACTTTCCGTTTTATTATGTACAATTTGATATATATTTTTTGCAAAGTACAGTTTGAAATAATATCGAGTATAACTTATTTATTTGTTAGGCATACAAATGATTATCCTGTTTCAAATTGATATAGTCCTAATTGTTAAACTGCAATAGATGAAACTTCTGAAGGTTTTGGGGGTTAAGTTCCTACATGAATTTTGCCAACATGTGTGAACTGAACCAGTTTTCTAATTGAGACATAACCGCCAATCTGTTATGTCAGAACTGGTAGGTCATATTTTAGAACACTGTATATCTGAAATAATGTAAATTATTACTCATAACCATTTTGATTTTTGTGGTCTGTTGCCCATAATATCATTAAACATCTGAAAGAAGATGATTGATTGTTGGCTTTCTTAGCCTCATTGATGTGCTCTTAGGGCTATGGCCATATGCATACTATTATGGCGCTTCTGTGCTGCTTGTGGAAGTGTTTTTTGCTATTGATACACAACTTTAGTTTGTACAGACTCAAATCGGAACATTTGTATTATTCAAGTTCTCTGGCTTGAAATTTGGTGATAAATATTTGAAAACAGTACCTAGAATCATTGAACATGAAGATATTGTTAGGATCAACATTGAATCTAGAGTAAGGACAATCATACATCTGTTAAGTTTAGCCAAGTAGGTTAATAGGACTCAAGTGTCTGCATTGTATATTTTACAGGAATGGTAAAGTTCATGCATGTGCTGTAAACGGCGGAAAACTTGTTGGAGGAAGGTTCCATCTCGATTATCCCAGTGTTGGGGCAACTGAAACTCTCATGATGGCAGCTTCCATGGCTGATGGAATGACTGTGCTCACAAATGTAGCCCAAGTATGATATGATGATTGAAGCTCAAACTTCCCTATTTCTGATGCTCAGGATTATGGAAGTGCCTTTTTTTATGTCCATTGTTGCCAAAAAATTGACTGTGTTGGGTCTGCCTTGTTACTCCAGGAGCCAGAGGTAGTTGATCTTGCACACTTTCTGATCAGAAGTGGGGCTCATGTGGAAGGAGCTGGAAGTGGCAAGCTTGTTATAAATGGCAGGAATCAATTGCATGGCCCTGAATTTACCATAATGCCAGACCGCATCGAGGCTGGTACATTTATGGTTGCTGCAGCCATAACACGCTCACATATCTCAATCTCACCTGTCATACCTTTGCATTTATTGTGTCTTGTTGACAAGCTTTCAGCTGCCGGTTGCAAGATCATGCAAAGCACACCAAACACATTGGAGGTATGGACATTTTTATGCTTTTCTTTCTGATTTTTTAGCTTGAGATCATAGATGCTGTCTTGCATTCCCAGGTTTCAGCACTTCCTGCAAAGATTGGAGGAGATCTTCAAGGTTTTGATGTTAAAACAGGTCCTTTTCCTAAATTTCCTACAGATATGCAGCCTCAAATAATGTCACTGCTTACAACTTGTAAAGGATTAAGTATTGTAGAGGAGTCTGTTTTTGAAAGCCGTATGAAGCATGGTATGTATAGTTTTTACTAAAACTTGGTATGATACGGGAATCTAGTCTCTCTAGCTTCAAGTTTAACAGCATCTAATGGTCGAGGTATCCAGTCTATTTGAGTTAAACAGGAGAACGAGGTTTATCCTTGTGTAAATCTGCCATTAGCCACTGTACTTGAACCGTTTTTCTTCCCTTTGTTTATGTTCTTTGATCTTGACCATAGGACAACCACAATTGACTACTGTCTTTTCACATGCACTAGTGAGGGAACTGCAGAAACTAGGAGCAAAAATCCACCTTTACGGAAACAATGCATTAATCCATGGGAAAGAACAAGGAAGGTACTCTTTTTTTTTTTTTTTTTTTGAGTTGTGTGAATATTCTTCTCTTTATACTAGAAGAATGCAGAAATGGTGTTGAAAACTAACCATCTTTCTCCTTGACAGTGACTTGTCTGGATCCCAAGTTGTTGCAACTGATTTAAGAAGTGGAGCTTCACTGGTGTTGGCTGGAATGGCAGCTGAAGGAATCACGGTGATTGATGGTGTAACACATATTGATCGGGGTTATGAGAATCTGGAGATGAAGCTTCGTTGCCTAGGAGCTGATATCAGAAGACATCCATTTTCCATTGTGACAGGTACTGGAGGAACCATTTGAGTGCATATAAGCTGTACAGAGGATTTCTACTATGTTTCGATAATTAATGGATTTTGTGTGTAGTGCAGTTGAAAACAGACTTGTTTGAAAAGACTCTTAAATAATACATAATTAATATTAAGTAATTAAAGATAATTATTCAGACGGCGTCTATGATAGCTGAAGTGGTTCAATTGAATGATATATTTGTTTGCCTTTTAGGCCATGTTTGGTTTGAAGGAAAAAGTAGGGAAAGAAAAGGAAAGGTAGGGAGGGACCTTAGAGAATAAGTTATCAAAGAGGTTATGAGTTCTTTAATGGCTTAAGCAGCGGAAATTAGCTGATTAAGATACTCTTAAAATAAATATTTCATATTTAACTATTGGGTTAATTACTGGTTTCAAATACTATTTAAATGTACTCTATAGTATGACCCCATGATACAAAATAGGTCATCTGTTATTCAAAGCTTTTGTCATTTGCACATGATATCACGTGCTTTTTTAATTCAGGTGGCGTTTGATAAATCTGAAATTTGAAGTCTGAAAAGTTAAAATGATATTATCTGTGTCTGAAATCTAAAAAGCAGCATAGATGTTTTTCTATTTTTTAGAGGGTCTGAATAGATAATGTTGTTTGTGTTGGATCAATTATGCAACATCTGAAATTGCTTGGTTTTATTATTTTACCCCAGAACAGGCTATTTTGTAATTTTGAATGCAGTTAGCACTATTTCATACATTATCATTCAAAAAATCGTTAAACAATAAATAATATTAAAATCAATAAAGTGTTAAAAATTATAAAAAACTAACAATTAAAAATACATTATTAAAAATTAGAATAATATTGAAAATACGAATAAATTCCATAAAGCAATGAAAAAATATTTAATAATTAGTGAAATAATATATTAAAAGGTAATACAATATGTAATAAATAATAAATAATAATATATTTAATAATTAATACAAATAAAAAATAAAATAAATTATTAAAGATTCAAATAATATTGAAATTATGAATAAATTCCATGAAGAAATAAAAAAAAATAGAGTAGTTAATAATTAATGCTCATAAAAATTATAAAAAAATATTTTGCTTTCTGGCATGGGAAAGCTTTAAGGGTGAAAGTCGGGTCTGTTTGGAATAGATTAAAATCAATGCTTCCTTCAAGTGGTGAAGCTCAAACTAATGGAAAGGAACTAGAAAAAGCTGCTAGTGCAGAAGTTACGACATCGAGAGAACCCAAAATATGGGTTCCAAATCTATATGTAACCATGGCCAACGGTGACTATCTGTTGTTATTATTCTGATCCACCTGTTACAGCAAATGGCTCATGGCTTGCAGCAAACAGATCATGCAAATTATATATGGCAACAAAACTGTTTGTGATGTCCAAGGGCAAACAGAAATTTCTTGAGGCTCTTGTGTAGCAGCAATGGTGTGTACTAGGTGTAGTCAAATATGTCGTCTATCCACTATCATCCCATCCAATGTACTAGGTGCTGATCCATTCCTATTAGTTATCCATTACACATGCAGAACCACCATGAAACCAAAAAAGCTGTATTCATCAGAACCTTCCTATTGCAGCCATAGCAGTGCAAAGAGGGAGAATGGTTAATTCCATTTGTCATAAGGAAACCTAAATATACAACACAAATCAACAATCAATTGATCACAACATACTTAATAATGGATATCCATTGGCATTAGCATTGGCACATGAACATTAAAGAACTGGAGATCTCAGCAGTACTACATTATTCCCCTTATATTAAAGAATAAATGTATGTAACAGTGTATAGAAATATATATAATATATACAGTGACTTTAGAAAAAAATCATCCTAAGACCATGCCTTAAACTTTATTTGGATATCATATCACTGCTATACAAAAAAAAATCCCTTCTAATATATAGTAGCTTTTCCATCTTAATTCTCTTGAAACCCATTTTAGGATGACTTGGTTCTCAAGAGCTTCAGAATCTCATTGAAGACGTCAGTTGATCTCCACCGGCCTTTGGCAACCCCTTTGCCCCACTTAATAGGATTTGCTAGATCTCCTTTGATATCTTTTTCATTCTAAAGCATCTCTCCATTGTTCTAGTTCTGCATTTAAGTCAGCAGATCTGCTGAGTGCTTCTATCCTCTGTTAATCTATCCATTTTATGTTAAATACATTGAAGATAATACCAAACCCTTTCTTCCCTCTTCCCTTACACACGGCCTCCTCTTCTTTTCTCCCTCTTACAATGAGAGTGTCTCTACATACCTGAAATGGAAGCTATGTAGACACTTGGAATTTATAACCTGAAAAAAAAGACATGTAATGGGGTTCAGTGCAGCATCAATGAATGGTTTACTAACCAAAAGAAATATTGATAAAAGAAAAAAGACTATGTAAATAAGTAAATTGGGGAACAGGTTATCATCAACTGTTTTTTCTTCATCTTATGAATATTTTTATTAAGCTCTATGCAATTTCTTTATTCTCCTCACTATGTCTAGCATAATAACAAAATGTTCACATAATCTACATAGATAAATTGATAGAATATGCCTCTTTTGGTTTTCCCTTTGTGGTTTGGATGATTATGTATCCTATGGAATTGCTCTGCTGTGTATGGTTGGAAGATTATCTCCCCTTGGATTCTTGGGCTCCCCTTCATCAATCAAAGCATCAAATTAACCGTCATAGAAGGGGTCATTGCACAAAATCAGAATTTTGTTTTTTTAAATATCTTTCATTACTTGTCCAGCTTCAATCATTTGTTATTCTTTAGTTTTTACCAATTTTATATACAAGCCAAAAGAATTAAGGGATAATAGGGAGAGTGAAAAGAAGATTGAAGGATAGATTTTGTGGCAGAGAGCTCAAGAATCATTGACTGGTTACAGATAATGTAGTATTAAACTATTAATATACTAAACTGGAATCCTCTGATATCAATCTATAAAATGAACGATCAAGACAAATTGATCTAGCTTTGTAGCATTTCATAAAACATGTAAGGATGGATACCACTTTGGTAGAAACTTTGAAATTTTATAATATTTTTTTAAAACATTTATAAATAAAGTGGTCTTGCTTATTGGGGGAGCTTTAAAGCAGTTGATTCAGCTTAGCTGAATCTTCAACTCAACCCTCCCAAATGGGCTCACATGATGTATGAACACCACTGGAGGATAAAAAGAGGAACACTGTTTGACCATCTTTTGATTTCTAAAAGAGGAGCACTGGCATCCCAATGTGACTAGAGCTAACCATTGAAGTTCACATCTCCAATGGGCTATATAATCCTGTTCCTCTAAAACAATTACAAATAACTCTTGCTAACCATTGGAGTTCACATCTCCCGATCCTTATCTTAACAACAGTGAACCCAAAGCAATATCTCAAATGACATGAACCAAAAAATTGCAGAATTGAATCGATCCCTCAACCTCAATCATGTTCACAATTCATGACACCCTAGCTAATTCAAATATACCATTAGAATAGTTTTCAAAGTGCACTAGATCTCTGCAAATCTTTTCCTCATAGCAGTATTCTTTACTCGTATACATGTAGCAAAAGGGAAGCTCCTGCATTGAAATGCGTGAGACCTGTGCTTACTATTGCTCTGATGTCTTCAGAAGTTGGAAGCCTTTCAAAGTCATAACAATTTAGAGTTACTTACATATCTCTGTGAACCAGAAATAAAAAAGCATCCCAACTAAACATGCATGAAACTGTTTTCATCGTCAAGTTCAACCAGACAACCAGTGAGATACAAGAACCATGAAGCAAGTAAAAAGGGATTGAGTTAAACTCCAAATGGTGACTGAATAACCCACGTTAACAATTCTTTACAATTAAAATGTAATTTTAATTAACAGGAGAAAGTCTTCTATTAATGTTTCATAGAATATATCCAACCATCTGTAGCTAAACCATCACTATTTCATATAACAATGTCATCAGCTTAATGTTCTTTAAATGGATATAGAGCTTTTCTTCGAGGATTTGGTAAAATATTACTGATTCTGTGAGAGGAAAATGGACTAAGATCTATAAATCCTTCCAAAACCAAATCATGAATCCGAGAAAAACTTGCACAAAAATCTTCTAAAGTTTCCCTTTCAATTACACATAAATCTTCTCAAGGTATACAAGTAAGAAGTACTGCTATGAGGGCAGACCTCAAAATTTGTTTTTTATACTTAAAACTTAACATGTTCCCAGAAACCCTAGAGCTTCCAGTCGAATGCTATATGAAACAACAACAAAAATGGAACAACAGAGAAAAAAGAGAATGCTGAAATACTCACTGTCACCGCTGTTTTAACACTGGTTAGAGTTCACCAGTTGAATTTGAAACCACAACAAAAATGGAGAAAAAAAATAAGCAAAAAATGTTGGAATTCTATAAACCCTAGAAAAATAATACCTGATGAGTCGAAGAACATACCTGCAAGTAGAACCCATTGCGGTAAATCTCCTTACTTGAACCAGGGGAGGAGTTGAATAACTTGATATTTTGGCTTACATGAAGGGCATTACGGGTCATTTCAAAATTGTACGAGGGCATTTTTGTCTTTTTTCCCACATTTGAAATGTCTTGGCGCATTAAGCACCTAGTCCGACTTTTCTATTTAGTTCTGAAATTGGGTTTTAGATCTACTAATTAGACTCAAACCCAAATGTAGGTGGCATCTGAAAAGCAACATTTTCATACTTCAGAGATCTGAAAAAGTGCTATCAAATGCCACCTCAGTTTTTCCCCCATCCAAATTGTTCAACTCTTCCTCTCTTTCATTATTATATTTTTATTGGTACAACGGGAAAAGAGATCAAAACTTGAAAAAAACTAGTGCAGAAAAGGTGTAACAAAGCTCTAGAAATCAGTTAACTTTTGCCTCTCAAGTCTCGAATAGAGTAAAGTCTAATCTAAAATCTCGATCAAACCCAATGTTGGCAAAAGCAAATGGGAAAATCTATGATGTGGGAAAGATATGGTATGGAAGGGTTTTGTTCAATCAAAACCCACCCATGAATTTTGATAAATAACACCTGATTTACTACCATGTTTATGATTCTAGTTAATTGGTCAGATGTTTTTCGGATTTCATATCTTTTCCATATCATAGTTGAACCCCAAGCAAATGTGCTTG